TTTTGACAAGCATCTGATTGTCCATAAGCTGATTTTGACAAGCATCTGATTGTCCAAAACTTGAGCTATAGATGTAGGAATCTTTAGCCACAGTTGCTAACCTCAAAGCACCATATGCAGCAGTTCTCTGAAATGAACACCCAGCCTCTCAAATGCACAAAATCCAACCCATATCAAATATCTCTAATTAAACAAAAAGGAGTATGTGTGTGTGTCTTGATCATATACCACTTACTTACATTGGATTGTTTCATCATTATCTCAGCATGTATCAACATCTAAAGTTCACTCATATGGTGCATTGCTATAAGTATTTTACTACATCACAAGAATAATCCAAAGAACTTGCAAAATTTTATCAGAATATTTACTACTACCTTGATTTGAATTCCAGTTGAGTTCACTACATTTTTGAGTTAATTTCTCCCCACCCCAGCTAATTGAACTCTTCAAGATCTGTTCACAACCAACATAGGAGAAAGAAAAATCTGTATTCTCATACCTGGGTAGATGGAACTTGTTAATGTGGTCATCTCAGAGACAGAAAGCCCTAAAAGAAAATCAACCTTTCCTCAGAATACAGAGGTTGGGTGTAAGGCCAATCATCCCATTCTATAGAACAATTCAATTGCTGAAAACTCACCAGAGGCCTTATGTATGTATGTATGTGTGTATACAAGAGATCTGTAAAGTTGTTGTTGGAAAATGTATAATGAAGGAATTATTAAAAGGGAAAGGCAAATATGAGATCAATATGTAATAAATCTAGTGTAAGTTCTGGGATAAAAAGAAATAAAGAAATGAGTAATAGAAAACTGTAAAATCTTTAATGAAAATAAAAGAATGAAGAGTAAAAGTAATCTTAAGAGTTACGACTAATGTGAATGTTTCTTTTTAGCCAGATCTCATATATATCATAGAGAAATAATTTTATTAGATGTGGAATTAGCAAAAAGTAAGTAAAATGTGAAGGAAAAATTGCTCATAAAGGAATTGTGTTCATGAAGAAAAACTTTAAAAGTCCCTGTAAATTAAGATTTGAGAAATGAACAAACTGGACAGATTCAAATTATAGCAGACACATTCTTAGAATTTACTCTATTAACCATTTTCAGGCAAAATAGGAACTTTTTATTGAAAGTTATTAAGATACCATATCCCTAAGGAAGTGGAAACTAAGTTAAAATAAAATTTAATTAACATAATTGATGGAAAAAGATCAAATTTACACACTTTAAAACATTTATGAAATTATTATGCAGTTGTGGCTTTTAATCATATACAGTTAAGTTATTAGAAATCTAATAGTCTTTCTACTTAGATATATAGTGACAAAATGAGCTTCTTCCACTCTGAGGAAACTGCCTAGGAAAGCCAACTGCTTAATTTCATACACACACACACACACACACACACTACAACTAATCCTGTAAGGGTTTGTAATGTTATCAGTCCTGACCTGGCACCTTGGCTTCAATTTCCTACTGCTATAACATCACTTCCCTGTGGCTATTCGATAAATATTTTCATAGTAATTTTTCTAATGAGTTTTCCTCTTTGGTACTTTGATTGGCAAATAAGTCTCATCATTTTATTGTTAAAATATCTAAAGATGTAACTGTAAATTCTATTCTAAGCGCTTCTCTTCTGGTACTTCATGCCTGTGGAACACACTTCTGGATTCTTGCTTTCGTGTCAAGTACAATCTTCAAAAATTTACTTGCAACTTCAATCACTATCTTCTGTTTTTTTGAAGCTGTTCTTTTACTGTCCTTTTTCCTCACTGAGGTTTTCTCATTTTTTTTTTTTAATTTCAATAATCCCTTGCATCATAGTGGCATTATTGCATTGCTTGAGGTAAAATGATTAAAAAAGTTTTACTTCCTTTTTGAACTACATGTATACATGTAAATGTTATTTTCACTTTCTATTCTTTTTGTGATCCATATATATATATATATATATATATATATATATATATATATATATATAGTGTATATTTTGGCAGCATGTTTTCATTAAGACATATCTTATTACATAATTTAGACAAGATTTGCCTACTTATTCTTAATAGGATCCTCTCATATTTACAGATGAGCTTCTTAGTATCCCTATTAAAGGAAGAAACAAAATTGCCATGCTGATGTATATCCATTTTATCCCTGAGTACTTTCAACATTAGCACAATGTCATCTTCAGGGTTTTGTTTTTGTTAAGACAAAATTGCTGTGTTCATCAGTTTTTACTTGTGAAGTGAAAAACACTAAACTTATGTACTGTACAATTTTTAAATTTTATGATGTAAACTTACACATGCAGCAACATCAAGGGCAGTAACTAAGTTATTGATATATCTAACTATATAAAAAAAAAAACTATTTCAAGTTATTAGTTATAACATAGATATTTAAAACTATCTATTGTAAACATTTTAAAACATTTGTGCAATATTCATAATTAATTTTATTAAGGGTTGGTTTCAATGTTTTAATATAGATAGCTTCAAGAATTTTTAGTTTATTATTTCCATGAAAAGGTATAGTTGTATTTTTGACAAGAATTTTTCAAATTGTGAATGAGGACAGGCATACTGTTGTAAATGTTGAGAGATGTTAGATGGATCATTCAAATGAAAACTCAACCTTCTAGATAACATAGTTGTGGTTTGACCAACATGTATATTATTTTTTTCTGTTAGAGATACAATCTCCCAAGGGACATTTAAATTTATATATAATGTTGGTTTTCTGCAACACATTATTTGGTGAGGAGGAGTCATTATGAATGATTAAATTGCATATATTGAATTTAGTAGTATATAATACATTTTATTTTTTTTTTACTAGCATCTGTGGTGAATATATTAGTATTTATTAGGTTTTTAGGATATTTTTATCCTGTTTATAATTAGAATACATTTGATTGCAATATGAAAGATTAATATATTTAGGTTTTTTTGAGGAAGTATTATATTCCATTTGCTTTATATTAAAATTTCTAATAGAACATCTGTTTATATAAAAAGAATAAGTAGACAAAACTTGTCTAAATTATTTAATGATATGTGTTGAAACCTAGAAATGTTTACTGTATAAGAATAACCAAAACGAAGGTTTGAAATGGAACAGTAATCTTTATAACATTAACAGACAGTATATTCCACTGAATTTATGAGGATATATACATACCCTTTAATAGCCCATAGGTACAGAATAACAAATATATATATATATATATATATATATATATATATATATATATATATATATATATATCCTCTTTGTTGAATTCATGTCTTTTGAAGGTCTCAACTGCATCCATTACAAAGTTGTAACACATCTTCATTACAGAATAATACAGCTGTTGCCTTCAGTTAAAATGGGACAGATAACCTTTAGAAACTACAACAGTTTAGACACAAATGATAACTGAAACACACACCAAAACCTACAGCATTATTTGTAATTAGTCAGTCATAATTAATAGACTAAATAAGTTTTAACTGTGACAAAATCTTTAAAAAAGGCAACTTTATTTATGTATTTTTTTTAACACTGACTGAACATGACCTCTTGCAAATTTTTATTTATTTTAAAGAGAGGCAAACTGAAATGGTTTATAATTTACTCAAACCATCAATGGCTGGTTGAAAATTCTCTTTTTCATAGGTCATCATTGGTTGTCTGGCATGTCTGCAAATTCTTAATCTTATTTTAGATTCTATAATTCTATATTTGCATTTTTTTTTCTTTTTTCTGTGAACCAGCCTTTTAGGTTGATCCATTATTTTTTTTTTTTTTTTTGTGTAGCTTTTTGACATGGAGACTTGTCCTTGGAATCAGAATGGGGCTTGAAATTTCTGGGACACACATTGAAGAAAAAGGGTTTGGAGAATTTAACACTAGAATGTATTTGAATGCAAGAGGGGCAGAGAGAGAGAGAGATAGCAAGTGAGCTACTTAATCTGCTTGTGTAAATGGATGGCAGAACATAAACTGAGAGTGATACTAAAGAGATGAATATCACTTAGAGCAAAAAAGGATATGAAGTTGTGGAGGGCCATGATCACCCCATGTCCTAAACAGACACGGCACATAAAAGAAAAAGAACACTGGACAAGCAGTATACTGACTATCAGTGAACAACTGATAATCGGATTTCAAGCTACAGATGAGCTAGATAATTTATATTAAAAAGTTGCACAATATTATTAAAGGAGACTTTTTCAGTATTGTATAGTTGCAAATAACGTCATAATTTCAGACAGAAGTAGCAAAATTTTGGAATAGCTTGAGATAAGAAACTACTACATCTACCAAAATCTACATATTTCCTTTTGAATATTTTTTGATGGTTTTTTAGTAGAGGTTAAGTCTTTCTGTACTCACGTTATAATGTAAATATTCTAAATTAGAAATATTAAAGGTACATTTTGATAAAGAAATTTTTCAAATTCTTTTCAAGTAAAATTTAGCACATTTAATAATTTGTAGTTTTTCATCATCACTAAATACATGGATATCATCTAAATACAGTCATCAAAAACAATTATTTTGCTAAAAAAAAATTGAACATTTATCAGTTGATAAGGTAAAGTTAAGTCTATTTATAAAGTGATGTTTGTTGGTAAGTATTTTGGTAAATGAATTAATATTTGATAAGGCATATTTATCACATGGTAGTAATTCTGTTTACAGCACAGTGATTATTGCAACAATGTTAATTACTGTTAAATGCCTAGGAAAGTTGGTTTACTATGCTAGACAATTTTTTATTGCAAGAATCTTTCTTACATATTTATAAGTCTACCATTCATCCTTGCTTTGAATATTGCTGCCACATCTGCTATGGTATTCCTGCTATATATTTAGAAATTCTTGATAAAATCCAAAGAATCTGCAAAAACTGAAAACAGACAAATACAGTCAAATTAAAAATGCCTGCCTGTCTACACAAATCAACACCAAGAAACTTTCTTACCAAAACAAAAAAAAAAAACAACCATACCATATTGAAACACCAGGTTCTCATATGATCACCAAAGTTAAGCAATTTCAAGTCTAGTTAGCACCAAGATGGGTGACTGCCTGGGAATACAAGGTGCTACAAACTTAGATGTGCAGGTGGGGTGATGGACTTTTACATACTTTTTTAAAAATTTTCACAATTATTGAATGCTTGTTTATTACTTATAATAGTGACAGATTACTAACACCATTATAAAATGGTGACCCTGAGAAAGTAACTTTAAATGTGACCTTTATGGTAAATGAGTTTTTTGTCTTTTTTTAGTTTATTTTAGAAAAAGATCATATATATTCAGACATACATCTTGCATAACCATAACTGAATGTGAATATAGAACTTTTTCTTGATTCAATTTTTATAATTATTTTAAAATGGATGATGAATATACATCACCTGATCCTCCTGTGCAACATTTGAACTAAATCCACCAGAATTCATGGAGACAACAGCGAATGACTGCTTTTCTATAGAAAAAGGCACAAGTATTGGTGCTTTAGCAAGATATTTTTTCTCCATTATTAAAACCTTACCTGCTGAAGTTGTTGTAAAAGTTCTTTCCTCAATGTTAGATTTTCAAAAATATGATGATATTGAATATGGGTGAACTTTAGTATAAAAAGTGCTTATATTTTTAAGCAGACAAGGCAAGATTGTGCAAGCTTTGGGGGAAGATGGCTCTAGAAGTAAAGTAACATTCAAATGTTAACTAGTTCTCAACAAACAACCCGTCTTCTCAGTGATGAGGAAAACTAATTTTCCTGTATTTATTCTGACAGCCATCCTTTCTGAAACCCATTGTATGATTAGAAGCTACTATCTGCAGATGTAGCAGAAAACATATCACAAATATCAAAAAGAATTTTCAACTGAACTCTTGCTTTGAGTAAATTCAAAAAGTTCTCCAGGTGTGTATCTTCTGGAAATAAATACAAAACTTTGCAACAGGTTGCAGTTACTCAACACAAAAATTCTGGCTTAGCTGCTCAAATCAGTGGGAAGAAATTCCCTTACCCCAAAATAAAAGTTGCTAAAGTTCAACAGATAACTGAAACTGTATGGCACATTCTCTAAGTTTATATACCTGGACTTTTTTTTTATCATTTCACCCCAATCAAGGCAATAAAGCCATTAAGATGAAAGGGATTACTGAGTGTTAGAGAATATGAGTCAAAAATAAACATTATTAAGAGAGAGAACAATAAAAGAACAGGAATTAATAAGACAGAAGATAATGATTAACACTGCATTTAAATTTTTAAAGATTAAAGTTGATTGGGAAACCAAAATCCAGAAGAGAATTTCACAAGTGAGAAGTGCAAGAGAAGAAACTATTAGCATAGAAGTTATGCTTACATTCAGCCATGTCAACTGTAAAATGAGGAGAACTTGCTTCCAATTTTCTTCTGTTAAATGTAATGACATTTATTAAATGAGATTTTTTCATAGGACTTCATGATGAACAATATTTTTAAGAAAATTTATTTTTTTCCTTTTTAACAGTGAAGAATAGATTCTTAGGATTTCTTTCATTTTAGCATGCAACATACAACTGGCCATGCATAAATATTTCTTTCTGGAGCCAAATTCCATCTTTTTGAAGCATTTGGCTTTGGGATTTGTTTAGAGTTCTCACAAATGCAGGGCAAACTGGAAATTGGATTCTTGTATATAAAAACTTAAAGAAAAGATATGCAAAAACAATATTATTGCATTTTTATTAAATAAATTTTTTTTTTACTTTTATCATTAAATTTTTTTAAAAATAGTGGGAGTATTTTGTATGTTAAATAATAAAACTTAATTTTTCCAAAAAAAATAATGGAAATTTATTGTATTCAGCTACACACCCTAGTAAAACCAACTGTACTTTGCATCCCCTTATCTGTTTGCACTTACCCCAAAATTTGGTTTCTGTCAGTCAATGTATAGGTATTTTAGAGTGTGATGGACTAACAGAAATCATATATATATATAAATAATGTGTGTTTGCATGCAAGTACTTATCAGAGAAATATCCATTTCTATGAACTGCTTACTATGAAAAGATATAACCACAGAAAAATCAACTTGCAATTAGGCAAAAACTGTTAAAATATAATGTACCATTGTAAATGTTACCATACTGACTGGAATTTTATTTACTGTATTAATCTAGACAACTGGCAGTTGTGTAACATACATTTGTAGTTGGGTTTTCTTAATTTTATTATGAAGCTGGCCATCTCTAGAAGTGTCTGCAAATATTCTAAATGAGAAACTCTGCTTTGATGTCAGTAGAGAAAAAGATACTTCACTCTAATTATTGATCTTTGCTTTCATGGTCTCAAGATGCTATGATAAATTTTTGAAGCCTCTAGTGTCTGCCATAAAGTAGGCGCCATGAATAAGAATTCTGATTGGCTACACCTAAATATAAATGATATAAACAATAAAACAAAAGCTGAGATACACCACATTTGAATGACTGAAATAATAATTTTTCTATTGAATTTAACATATATAAAAAAAAATGGCTGCCTATATAGCATGCATGACCTATAAGAAAAGTTTTGCAGCAGAACTACTAAAAGTAGAAATCGTACCATTATCACCAATAAGACAAGTAATTCTAAGAATTTCCATCTTCCAGAACATGCGGAAATAATATCAGTTTTGCATAAAGAAAAACTTATGCTTCTGGGAGAAGAGTTATCATTTCTAATTTTTATGCTTTTATTTCTGCTAAAATTTTTAAATATTTGAAGTATTTTTTTAGTGTTTAGTTATAATGCTTCATCTTGAAATAGAAAAATCAATACCATAATTTTTCAAAAATAATACGCATCCATAAATAATACGCACCCCAACAAATGATCAAAAAATTAATATATCTATCCCTATGTATAATACACATCTATAAAAAAAACAAAAATAATTACAAAGACATTTTGTTGAGCTTGACATTAGGAATAAAATCAAAACTAAATGGCTAAAATGTTGAAAATTACACTGTGGTTTCCTGATAAATATAACTTTTTATTTTACCACTCAAATGTCATCAAAACATGCGAGTTATAGTGCAAATTTTAAACAAAAAGTAGTAGAATTAGTAGAAAGAATAAGAAACAGAGCTGTAACTAGAGAATATGTGTTGAATGAGGCTAACATATGTTTATGAAGAAAGAATAAAAATGAAGTAAAAAAAAAAGTGTAAATCAAGGGCCAAAGCTCTAGGTAGAGGAAGAAAAGCTCAATATCCAGAGATGGAACAAAATTTAGTTGAATTTGTGAAAGAAAGACAATCAAGTGGATGTTCCATAAATTCTTCGAAATTGGCCTTTTATAGATTTTTTATTTTTTACCAAATAAAAAGTGCATTTACAGATAAACAAAATTATTGACAAAAAATGTTACAATTATTATTGTTGGATTTAAAATGAAAATTGGGATAATATCTTATTTTAGAACAAGTTCGTATTTATTATAAATGAATAACAAAATATTTTTGTTTAAACCTATTTATAATATGCACCCCGACTATTGCCTGTAATTTACAGTAAATAAATGCGTATTATTTTCATGAAATTACAGTAATTAAAAAAATATTAAAAATAATTTTCTTTTGGTTGAAATCAATTGTAAAAAAAAAATAAATACTCCTATATTGAGATGATATATTGTATGATTGAAATAACTTCAGTTTACTTCAATACTCTTTAACTTTGCTCTATGTAATTTCATTTGAACACAGATTTTAACAAACTTTCACCTATCACAAAAAATATAACACACAAGTGTTCTTCCGTGTTAATTTTTCTTTTATTCATAATTTCTCCTTATTTGTTTGACATAAAATTTTAAATGTTTTATTTTGTACACTTGAACAAATATAAAAGTACAGTAGACAGTTCTAAAAAAAAAAAAAAACAAACTCCCAAACATATAAGGTTGTGTAGGACATAAAAATATCTGCAGGGGATATGACATGGCAATGAAATTTATATCAGATGCAAGAGTTTCTCATCTTTCATATCTGTTTATAGAATTTCAATTTGAATCCTTAGCAAAGTTAATGGATAGTAGCTTCTAGTATCAGAGCTGCAGTATTTTTTCTCTTTATCAATCCTAAAACTTGACACCAACATGGTAAATGTAACCAAAACTTTAAATAACCATTACAAATGCACATGTCTGAAATGAGTGCTGTCTATCATAGCTGCAATGCCATTGTGTTTTAACAAAATGATTGATATCATATCATTGTTAATGTTGACAAAGAAACATCTCGTATATCAGAAACTCCATTTATGTAGCTGTTAATATTTGCATTTCTTTTCCTTGCTTCTCCAATTTCTCATCATCAAGGATCCATTGTTGTACTTGCTTTAAATTTAAAATTAAACACTATACGCATTGTATTGAAAGTTCAGTGTATGTTGTTTTCCCAGTTTCTTTCCAATAAGCAGGCAGGATTTCATTCAGTGTGAAAAAAGGTAGCATTCAAATTGCTTTTAAGCATAAATGGATCAGTTAACAAGAAAAAAAGATGCTAAAAACCAATGATTATTTTTTTTTTTTTTTTGTGCAAAAATTGACTTCAACAAAAAAATGAGTATTACGAGGAGGACTAAAGTAAGCCTTATCCATTTTTACACCAATATATCATCATGAATAGGTAGGATGAATTGCACAAATGATATACATCGAAATGATCTTTCTGTCAGTTTTAGTAAAACTATTGAATAAAAGGAAATTTCTCACCTCCAACAGTGATTTGAAAAAATAAGCCAGACTGAGAAAATTACCTTTTTTGACAAGTTCAGGTTTCTATTCTTTTCTTTCATTTTCATTTTTTTCATTTACGAGAGAATACTTAACATTGTCATCAGCCAGTTGCAATAAATGAAAACCATGTCTATTTCAAGTCTAAATACCAAGGATGCTGAAAACAGTTGTGTTAGGGAATTTGCTTGTAAAATCAATGAAATTTTTCAAAAATTTGTCAGTGGAAAATACACTATAATTAAAAATTCTTAATTTGTAATTATTTTTTTTTTTTTTTTTTTTTTTTTTTTTTTTTTTTTTTTTTTTTTTTTTTTT